TGGATGCAATCCCGTTCCTGGAAAACAAAATAAAAATATTCCTTTAGTGCTCAGCAGGCCTCTGGTTTCTCCACCTGGGAAACAAATCACAGCCCTTCCTCTTTTTGTCTCACTTTTTATTTATCTGACAGGAAGCTGAAGCTGCTGTTAGGACGTTTTTGGTCAGATCAGGCTTTAATGTCACTACACTTTCACACAGGCATGAAACTTTGATCGTGTATTTACTTTGCTGCCGATCCGTAGTCAAACATGACCGCCCGAGTTTCTGTTTGCTATCCTGTCACATGACTGGTGATGATCTGACTATCTTGTGTGTGTGTGTGTGTTGTGCATGTTTAAGGAGTTTTAAAGAAGTACTCCCTTGTTATTAATCCTCATCCACAGCTCTGTGTGCAGTGTGAGGCCTTGAACAGGATCAGGAGACACTGAGGCTTCTTAGAAATCTCTGACTGTTTTAATGGGAAATATAGAAGATTAATCAGTCGTTATGGCTTTTTATCATTAATAAGAGGTTTTTTGTTTTATTAAGAATACAACCCTTCCTGCACACTCACACACCCTCCTAAAACATGACTCGTGATGCTAATCATGCTGCTGTTGGTTTAGGGTTGTATAGTGGCTAAATAGTTGGTTTTGCCTCAGATGGTAAATATATTGTCCATGTAATTAGATTATGGTGAAGTCTCTTCCTTTAGACTGACCTCTAAATTCAGACAGACTCATTTGATGTGTTGTGGTTGAAATGAAATTCAACATAGTCAGATATGTTTTTGATACTATCTGAATTCACTTACTGTAACATCAACAATCTGTCTGTGCAGTAAGTGAAGGCGGTTATTGATTGGATGTGTCAAGCTGCGATTCCCCATTCCACGGTCATATGGTGTGAACAGTCATTTCACATAAAACTGTAATATTAGAACAATATAAAGAGGTTCAGTACGCTACACAGACCGTGTGTGTGTGTGAGGAATAAGGTCAGTAAGACCAAAGCCTGCAAGGGAAGGCAGCAAACCTGTGAGTCAATACGACATGGCATAATTACAAGTGAATGCAATGGTGATACTGTTTTCCAGTCTTTTCATGTTTTGCATATGCTGATAAATTTCCCAACACTTCGTAGGAGGCTAACTAATTAAACCCCTTATCCTTCCTCACAGCACAACCCTCTGATAGTGAGGAGTCAGTAATTGTATATCGTGTAAATGCTGTTTGTGCTTCATTGTAAAGCATTTTGTTTCTGTGCAGGAGGATGGCGGTGCCGTACGAGGGTCAGTCTTTCTCTGCTCTGAGGAGGCAGTGCCAGCATAAAGGAACTCTGTTTGAAGACCCTCTGTTCCCCACCTCCGACCAGTCTCTGTTCTACCAGCGAAATCAAATTGGGCGAGTCACCTGGAAAAGGCCAAATGTGAGTGAAAATAATGTTTTACCGAGAGGGGAAGTAGTAGTGCTGCGTATTGTATACATGTGGAAAATAATAATAATGACAGATGATATTTTGCAAAGTGAAATCAGTCAGGTTAGCAGTATTTTAAAAAATATATTTTCTTTGATGGTTTGTATCACGTAACAGGCCAGAAAACAAACACAGTTGTGAGGTCTGTTTCAGTGTCTTTAAATATCCGCTACAGCTGCTCATATAACCCCGAGATGAGGTATAAAAGAGAATAAGCCCTCACAGAGTCGGTATAAAAGGGGAAGCTATCCATAGAGGCCAGCCTTGCTTTTAGTCACACACTTTAAACATGTTTATTTCTGCTGAAAAGGTGGTCATTTTAACATGGGAGCTATGGGGACTGAGTTTCTTATAAAGGCAGCCTCAAGTGGCCACTAGAGGAACTGCAGTTCTCAGTGTTTGCTGCTTGTTTCCATCTTTTACAGCTCAGTGGGATCAGCTGCATAATCATCCGTGCAGGCGATCTTTTGTAGAGCTCTTATTTTATGCCTGTGTGAAAGAAGAACGCAGTAAACTCAAAGAGGGTGGAGAGTTAGTGATACATCAGAGACGAAGGGTCAGCTGTTTATTCACGGTGGAGAGGGACAGAGGCAGTAGGCTGGGAATGGCGGCGGTGATCATGAGACAAGGCTCCATATAAAGAGAGGAGAGGTTAAAGTGGCTGAATGGGAGAGGAATTCATGGAATTTCAAGCCAACAGCAAGGGTGTGTGTGTGTGTGTGTGTGTGTGTGTGTGTGTGTGTGTGTGTGTGTGTGTGTGTGTG